AGAAGTATTATTGACGTTCGTTGATATGGCGTTTGTTTTAGCGCGATTGTTGAAAATAAGTGTATCGTAAAGTTGTATTCGGAAAGAATAAACCAGTTTTATTAAGTAAGGACTTGTGTCGCTAAAGTTTCGTCGGAACGAAGTTACAGGAAAAGAGCATATGAAGACATTGATGAATGTGAAGAAATCTTACCTACCCGCCAGCATAAGAAGATGACGAAGAAGGAATTAGAAGAACTTTTCACGGTTATTGAAGAATTTAAGGGAAAATGTTTAGAAACAGACCCCGATGAAGATAGAAGCCGTCAAATTTGCAGAAAAATTGATGAGCAATTTCTCAGTACCGCCAATTATATGAAGAACAGAAGAATACGATGCGACAAGCTACTCTAAATAAGTTTTTCATAAAATAAAATCAGATCAATAAATTTTAATTCATTGCATTTTTTTCGTATTTTCTTATATACCTATACTTTGATTAAAAAATACACAAAATAGAAATTAATTGTGAATGAGAATGAAAATTGAGGTACGAATTACATGATTTCCAATAAGTTATTATATTCGATTAGTGCGGCTCTTTTAAAAAACACATTAACCGCACTAATCGAGGGATTCCTGTATTTTCTTATTTTCAGTTATTCCACGAAATTTAGACCAATCTTTCAGTGGGGATTATGGAATCGTATCATCGATAAACTTCCCCGGACATTACATCAACAATCTCCATTATACAATCACTCTTAAAGGTCGACCTCTGACACGTATCTACATAAAGTTTACTCACCTGGACGTAGAGTGGCAAGATCAGTGTATGTACGACTACATTTCTATCCGTAGTGACCCGAATGAACCTGAAACTCGCTTTTGTGGACAACATCAACATGATCTGGACAAGTATGGAACTGTTTACGCATTTCTTAAAATTATTAACTTTAAAAAAAAAAAGAAGCAAAATAATTAAGTTTATAATAATGTTCTTCGATGACAGACAAATCAATAATTTATTACAAATAATTGTTTTTTGAATATGACTGAGTGCTTAATTTATTTTAAAGAAATTATGTGATTATACTTAGAAAATAGTTTTTTAATATAAATTAATCGATTCAGAATTGAAGTAAAATTTATTTAAAATAAATCGTTAAAATTTACAAAATGTTATTGCTGATATTGTCATTTTTGTTTCTTTTCTTTATTTGTTGTTAAGCACAAAGCTGTACAATACATATCTGTGCTGTGCCCACCGCGAATATCGAAAACCGATTTAAATCGTTTTAAATCCTCAGACTTGCCTCTGAACCACTGGGAGGCTATTTGAAATTATACATACGTGAAGTTAAATCTAAAAAAGGAGCTTGATGATTAAACCTCTCATTAAATAAACTTAATAAAAAAATGACAAACATTTAAACGCTGCTCTATAGACACCAGGCCCGGCATGTCCAGGTGGCTTGGGCACTCGACTCGCAATCTGAGGGTCGCTGGTTCGAATCCCCGTCACACCGAACATGCTCGCCCTTTCAGCCGTGGGGGCGTTCTTATGTGACGGTCAATCCCACTATTCGTTGGTAAAAGAGTAGCCCAAGAATTGGTGGTGATGACTAGCTGCCTTCCCTCTAGTCTTACACTGCTAAATTAGGGACGGCTAGCGCAGATAGCCCTCGTGTAGCTTTGCGCGAAATTCAAAAACAAACAAACAAACTATGAACACCAACACCAGGAATTCACTGAATTTTGTTATATAATTAAATTAGGGACGGCTAGTGCAGATAGCCCTCGTTTAGCTTTAACTACTTAAATTTGTAAACATCTGTTTATCACCTAGAATATTAAAAAGCGATTGTACACACCTACACAAATTGTCTCCCATTAACATTATAAGTGTTAAAACGTATGTTACGAGCGATTAGAAGCTTGTTACTTGTAAACGTTTAAAATTTGTGAACAATACACAACAGTTATTCAGAAACAATTTCTTTATAAATGTCTTTCTGTTAAACTTTTCCAGGTTTATTTTTGTGTCTGACAACAGTACGGCTTACCTGACATTTCATTCAGATTACTCCATCACAAGTACTGGGTTCCAGACTACCTGGGAAGCGATTGATGTCAGTGTATGCCAAGAAGTGCAACATACAAGTCTCACAGTCAAAATAAGTTACATAAGCCATCATTATCCCAAAGGGTATTTGCCAAACACCTTCTGTAAAACTCAGTTCCAGGCTCCACCGGGGAAAAAAATTCTTTTGACATTTACTGATTTTGATGTTGGTTTTTCAAAAGGAAATAATCCCTGTAGACGAGATTATTTGGAAATTCAACTGGAATCGGGACACTTGCGAAGATCTGTAGTTCTTTGTGGGAATGCTAGCTCTGTAGCACCAGGTTATCAATTTATTTCCTATGATGAAACCGTTACTCTGGAACTCTCTACAAGCTCACGCGGTGGAAGAGGCTTTAATGTATCCCTCGAGATATGTAAGTTATCTGTAAATGAACTTTTTCGATCATCCACATATACAGTTCTGTATAAGCTCTTAAGCATTGTTTGTAAATGTTTTTTAGGTAATTTAGTAATAAAACTTCCTTCATATGTTGGTTTTATCAACACAAAAATAGTACATAAAAACAGGTGACTAAGCTAGAAGGTAAGCAAAAGGAAATACACACCAAAGTTGTGATATCACAAAGCCGGGTTAGGTTTTGGATTGTCATGTTTAATTTAAAATGTAATTCAATATTGTGTATAAAACACAAGATGCACTTAAACTTGTGAGATCACAACTTTGTGTATTTGCTTTACTATATTTTATAACCTTATCAATCTTTTTACGTACTATATTTTTGTATTGATATCACATACACATTTGCTTTTTACTTGAGTACAAACTTATCAAAACCTGACAACTCCTTCCTTACCTTCATTGATCATCTGTCGTATGAATGTTTCAGTTTTTGGCTGAAATGTGTAATGTTACAGTTCCTTGTCTGCCTTCATTGACTATCTGTCGTATGAATGTTTCAGTTTTTGGCTGAAATGTGTAATGTTACAGTTCCTTGTCTGCCTTCATTGACCATCTGTCGTATGAATGTTTCAGTTTTGAGGTTAGCTGTAGGTAAATTGAAAGTATTAATCTAATTGAATAAAACCGTAACGACCTTGACCCTAAACATAACAAACCCTACAGATAGTCCCTTGCTTCCAACCACTAGATATCTAATGTAAACATCAGTTTGTCTAGGGTGAGATGTAAAAAGCGAACGACGAAATTATGAAAAAAAAACACACTAAACTTTCAGGATGTATTCTCGATGGGTACACAATTCTGACACCACATCATTAGTTAGATGCTATTAACAAATATAAAATTCTAATAACTTCTCTCTGTGTAAATTAGAGTCCACAGTAGTGATGTTTCTTTTTATTGTTGATAATGTTTTTCATGTTTTCTAATAGCTTTTGATATTGTATTGTTGTTGTTCTTTTTCAACTTGGCTAAACTGTTACCTTGGAAATTGATAGTATCATACAGGAAATGATCGCGCGATTAACCTATCTTTTACAGTTCTTAAATCAAATTTGTATATGTTCTTCTCTAATTCAGTATTTTGCCCATTTCAAGGTAATAACAAATGCTAGAGCATCTTTATAATGGAACCAAAGCCCCAGGTATCTGGTTTTATATTCTACGCTGATGTGAAGAGCTACTGTTGAATTATAATTTGTTTCTTGTTTTGATTTCATGCAGGGAATGGCCACCAGTTGAATACAGTATTACGCTTAAGTAGCTTATCGGAGGGAATATTGTCAAGTTTAAACTACCCGCACAATCCACCAAAGGACTTAAATTATACACAACAACTTGTCTCTCCGTTAGGAACATACATAAGCCTATATTTTTTCCGGTCCTCGTGGGCTGAGGGTAGATGCGTTGATAACATCCTTACCGTTGAAGACTTTTATTCAGAAGATAAGCCCATACGGACCATTTGCATTGAGAGTTACAGGGTCAATAAAACTCCAGATCTACAGATAGACTCTGTCTTTAATTCCATTCATCTTGGAATATGGATGAATTCCGAGAATAGAATATTAAAACCTTATCTCATTAGATACAGAGTTCTTCCAGGTGAGAATATCTTAGTAATAAAACCTTCCATCTTTTAAACGAAAATTTGAATATTCAAATATTAAAGTCCTCCATTATTTAGGCAATGTTTTCTTGATACGCTAATTCGAATATTTTCGACATTATTTATGGTATTATGCATTAAAAAAGCTATTAATATTAGTTTAATAAACAATTCATTATGCCTAAAACTTCGGCTTAGGCCTTCATTGTTAGAATAGTCTTAAGAGGAAATGAGTGGATTAGAGTACAAAGAAATTCTAAACGGAAAAATTTGTCCACTTTCTAAGAAGTTATAGTTGTTGTAAGGGAGAATCAACCACTCGTAACCAGAAAGTTATTTCGTTTTTCTAAAACTAAACGTATATAACAGAACATGGCGTGACTCGTGAATTGGTCACTTAATATCGGAATGTTATATTTAATAACTTTCAATAGAACTCTTATCTAACGCTTTTTATTTATAAATAAAAAAAATGTTATGGAGATTTAAAGAAAAAATGCATATCAAGTCTGTTATTTCAGATCCACTTTTCATAAACAAGTCTCTTGGAATGGGTTCTTCGCGTCTTCTGGATGGATGCTTCTGTAAGAATGGTGGGACATGCGTCACTTCTCTTGAAGGACTATTTAAATGCCAGTGTAAGAGGCCGTTTATGGGTAAGAAAAGAGCATTTCTTTCACAAACATCTAAAAATATTGCGTTCTATCAATGAAAAGTTTTTTTGTGGATTACAGTATCAAAATAATCTCTGCAACTTTAATACCATTTTTTTGGAGTGGAATATTGATAAAGTTTACATATTTTTTTGATTTTCTACTTTTTACTCAACATAAGCCTCTCACTACCGACTGCTTCTGTAAGATAATTTTATTCGCCCCAACGAATCTTTTCTTACAGAGAACATCAAGTTAATATAAGCCATTTATCCCTGACTGAATTTTTATAGTCGAATTTAGGTGCTAGCTGTGAATTTCTCTATTCTTGGAATTCTGTAGTATAGAAAAGATTAACAAAGTTTAAATAACCTCATTATAACAGGGTTCATCCTTATAAAAGGATATTTCCTAGTTGCAGTGTGATTACACTGTGTTTAAGAAACCTTCTAGTAAAGAATAAGTTCAAATAAACTTCTGGTGAACAGCTAGATCCATATAGAGGGAACCGTAAGCACTAGAAATAATATTATGTTACTCTCCCTAACTCCTAAGGAACCGTATAGTATATACAGTGTTAATCACACTTTAAAAGAATACTGCTCTTTCTTATAATCGGCTGTATACATATTGTGGACGTCCCTCCCTTGTTGCGATATGGGTATAGTACTAAAGGAACCCTCATAACCGGCTGTATACATATTGTGGACGTCCCTCCCTTGTTGCGATATGGGTATAGTACTAAAGAAACCCTCATAACCGGCTGTATACATATTGTGGACGTCCCTTCCTTGTTGCGATATGGGTATAGTACTAAAGGAACCCTCATAACCGGTTGTATACATATTGTGGACGTCCCTCCCTTGTTGCGATATGGGTATAGTACTAAAGGAACCCTCATAACCGGCTGTATACATATTGTGGACGTCCCTCCCTTGTTGCGATATGGGTATAGTACCAAAGGAACCCTCATAACCGGCTGTATACATATTGTGGACGTCCCTTCCTTGTTGCGATATGGGTATAGTACTAAAGGAACCCTCTATGATAGAAAACATTAAATTCAAATAAGGCTTTCATAATCAGCTGGAGTTTACGTGCTAGAGATGCACTTTGAGTTACTTTCCTTAAGTTATACCTTCGAGTATAGGAACATAAGTTCTTGTTCAGTCTTAGCCGCTAAGAAACTGCTAAGGCATGGAGAGCGCGAAACTGATATTATTAGGCTTTAATAATTGTTTAAATCCTTATAGTTAATTATTTGCCAACCGGAAAATGATTTTACTAATTAGAGGGTGGCAATCGTAATAGGTTAAAAAAGTAGAATTAAAATCAATTCCATTGAGTTTAAATTAAACTTCCAATATCCAGGTAAGTCCTTAAGGTATATTTATTCTATTAGCTTTCACATTTCCGACAGAGAAAGAAAAAAAAACTGAAGAAAAATTATGTATCTTAAAACCTGTAATCTTCACTGGCTAGTTTTTCCCGCGCTCAAAAGGAAACTGTTTAAAAGCATGTTTGGAATTTCGCGCTCTTTTCCAAATTTTGGTTTTTATGCTAGTAATACATTAATATCAAATTTTGATTTGTATTTCGCGCAAAGTTACTCGAGGGCTATCTGTGCTAGCCGTGTCTAATTTAGCAATAAAAGACTAGGGGGAAGGCATCTAGTTATCACCACCCACCACCAACTCTTGGGCTACTCTTTTACCAACAAATATTGGGATTGACTGTCACATTATAACGCCCGCACGGCTGAAAGTGCGAGCATGTTTGGTGGGACGAGGATCGCGAGTAGAGCTCCCTAACCATCTGACTATGCCGGGCTCCTTGAAAAGGAAAATATCAATTACTATACTTCCCGATTCTCCAAATTATTTGTATTTTGTATTTATGGCAAAACCACTAAGGCTATCTGCGCCATTCCTAATTCTGAAAAACTACTCAGAGGGAATGCAGCCAGTCAGCAGCACCCTAACACCAACCATCCACACTAAGCAATTGTCTGCCCCAATGATAACGCACCCACCACTTTACAGCTCACGGAATATTTTGGGTAGCTCGCCAGCTCCGAAATCCAAAGTAAAAAATCGAAAAAAACAAAACAAGACTGTGTGTAAATATCTCAACCGCACACAGTATTGTAAGAAAGAAAAAAATTACTAATGTACGATTGACAAATTTTATCTATAAAATATTGAAAATTGTTAACATGTGGCGTAGCCAGCTTTTGTTTTTTAAGTTTAAATGTTTTATATTTTACTTCATTGACGTCGCTACCATCGCCAAGCACAAGTGTGTGGTCCAATTTTAGCTTTAGTATTTGTTTGATTGTCTTGTATATATTTTACTGTTCTCTTGTGAAACCTGTTACCATGATAGATCTTTATATAGTGGTGGGCGCAGCACAGATAACCATTGATAACTTTGTATTTAACAGCAAAACAAACAAATATTTTATATAAATTCGTTTGGGTTATATTTGTCTTGTTTATTTGAATTTTTTCAGTATTATTGAAAGCTGACATTTATGGATGAAATCTTACTTTATCCGATCATTCAAAGAAAATAAGCACCTCAAACACAATATTAGTCTTGCAATTTGCTTTAATTTTATTTCTGAATCGTATATATTTGTGATAAAAAAAAAGTTATGTTAATACTTGTTGAAAGCACTTCTAAGCTGCACCATTTAAAATGTGTCCAGTACTCTCTTTAATTGATTGTAAAGCTTGCACAGCTTGGGGTTAACTAGAGCTAGTGTATAATTCTCACGATAGGTCACTTTTTGTTAATTCTTCGCAGATCCTGCATTAAGGAAGAAGATTTAGGTTTATAATTGTTGCTTTCTGCTTTATTTTTCCGCTGTAGTAACACTTTGTGGACAATCTTCAATAATAACATTTTGATTTTTTATTGTAAAAAGAAACAATCTATATATTTATATGCAACAAACACGATGTAACATTAGAATGACCATGTTTAACCAATGTTATCAATTTACAGCGTTATCTGCTTTTGCTAATTTAGCGTCCCTCTGCTTCGTACTTTAGGTTTGTTCTGCCACCTACATTGGTGTCACTTAAATCCCTGTGGAATTCACGGTACTTGTGTCGCAGCCGAGGATAGCTACATGTGTGATTGCACCCGAGGATTCACTGGTGACCACTGTGACCAACTAGTGACCCCTTGTAACCCCAGTCCTTGTGGTTTAAATGGTCACTGCTTAGTTGTAAATAATACTTTTCATTGTCGCTGTCATGTTTGGTATGAAGGTAGGTAGGAGTGTGAAGCTTGTAAAATATTTTATAGCTTTTATAATTAATGTACTCGAAATGAATAAAAAATAACGTCAACAATAATCGGTTCTTAACTATATAATAAATATATTCTATTGATCATACATTATCAAATTTCACAGTTAGTCTTCAATCTTCAAGTTATCGACTAAATTTTATATCGTTCGCTACCGGTAGGGCCCACATGTTGCATTATAAGGTAATTTCATGTTTTTTTTGCCTGTTGCAGCACTCAGTGTAAAGAACTTTCGGGAAAACATTATATAAGTTCACAATTTTTTTTATGTATGATACACAAAAAACAGAAATCCCATAATTGATTAACGTGATTAACTGCAATGGAATTTTTAAATTGTTTGTGGGACTCGTTTGTTACTGTCATAACTGAAACGTCTGTTAATTTCACAGTTCCTTAACTACCATATAATATCTTTATTCAGGTAATTTTCTAAATTTTCGTTATGTATTTATGACATTTTCGTTAATTTGATGTCTCGAGGGCTTAAACATGTGCTAATCCTTTTACTTAGTCTTTTGGTGGATCAGCAGTAAGTTTCCGCGCTACAACAACAAAATCCGAGGTTCGATTCCCCGCGATGGACAGACGGTAGAAAGCTTTGCGCCAAAAGAAAAATAGCAACCTTAAGCAAAGTTTCCATACACTTATGGCTTAAAGCTTATATCATTTTGACCCTGTATCTGCGTCAGTAGTTATTCCCGCACTTGCAAATATATGCGCTAGGAGAAGGTTAATGTCTGCGTCAATAGTTATACCCGCACTTGAGCGGCACGCCGCCAGAGGGTTCAACAAGTATTGACTTCAGGAAGAGGCGTAGAGATGATGATGATGTCATAGTTCCATTAAGTGTCACCAGATGCCGCTTTACTAGGACAGGCTGAAGAAAGAGAGAGTGTTGCTAGGTGTGACGTCATAGTTTCATGAAGTGGAACCAGAAAGCGCAGCTATCTTAGTGAGGGTAATTTTATAATTACTATAATACCAGAAGGTCTGTTACTATAGGCGGATTGTGTTACTAAGATTTATAGGCTGACTATATGTGGATGGTGTTATTAAGGTTCTATAGGCGGACACCGTTATGAAAGTTCTGAGATACTGTTGCTATAGGCAGATGTTGTTACTAAGGTTTCTATCGGCGTTACTAAATGGATTATGCATGTTTTACATAGGCAGATATTCCCGTATGACTGCACAAGGATTTGAACTTATGTTCATGTATTTATTGCTTACATTTCACAAAGATGAATGTGTTTCTTTAGGTGAATGGTCTTACTAGGTATATTATGTGTTTCTTTACAAAGGTGTATGCTATTATTATGATTCTATATATTGTTACGTCTCCGTTTGTTAATTAACGCTGATGAATACAAAATGAAAGGTAAAGCTGCTTCAAAGTTATCATGTGTGCATATCACTCGAAATCAAAATGTTATCATGATTGAATTAGAAAGATTGCTAACTATCTGGATAGAGGACTGTAACCAGAAAAGAATTCCTTTAAGCACTGATCTCATAAAAGAAAAAGCATTAAGTCTCTTTTCAGTCTTAAAAGAAGAAAAGTTCAAAGACGAGACAAAGGAGTTCCATGCTAGTGATGGATGGTTTGAGAAGTTCAAGAAAAGAACTAGCCTGCACAATGTAAGAATTACAGGGGAAGCAGCTAGTGCAAATAAGGAAGCTGCTAATGAATATCCTGAAGTTCTGAAGAAAATTGTGGAAGAAGGAGAGTATTCGGATGAACAAATTTTTAACGTCGACGAGACGGGGTTATTTTGGAAAAGGATGCCTTCCAAATCTGAGAGTTCCCAGTCAGGATATAAAGCTGCAAAGGATAGACTAACCCTTTTATTGGGCGGCAATGCTAAAGGAAATTTGAAATTAAAGCCTATGTTGGTTTATAGAGCTCTTAAGGGTATAAATCATAAACAATTACCAATAATATGGAAATCTAATAAAAAAAAACATGGGTAACTAAAGCTTTGTTTGAAGAATGGTTCGTCAAGTATTTTTGTCCAACGGTCGAATACTTTTGCCGAAGAAGAAATTTAGATTTTAAAGCTTTGCTTATTTTAGATAATGTCTCTGGTCATCCTTTTGGTCTCAATTCTATGTGCAAAAATATCCAAGTGACATTTTTGCCCGCAAACACTACCTCTTTATTCCAACCAATGGACCAGGGCGTTATCACGACCTTTAAAGCATACTACCTGAGAAAGACTTTCAAGCAAGCGATTCAAGCAACATCTGGAGAGAATTCTATGACACTAGTTCAATTTTGGAAGAAATTCAGTATTAAGGATGCTATTGATAATATACATCAAGCATGGAATGAAATTTCAGTTAAAAATATGCAAGGCGTTTGGAAGACAGTTCTTCCACACTGTGCACAGGACATCACAGGCTTTTCAGAAGATACAGAAGAGGTCATTAAAGAGATTACTCATATTTGAAAAGAACTTGGCTTCGCTGAGATTGACGATGAAAATGTGCAAGAATTGCTAGAAGCTCATTCAGAAGAACGAACCAATAAGAATATTATAAATTTGGACACTCAGTTTACCTAAAATTGCTCTTACTGTTGACTCACCTAGTTTGTGCTCTAGGCCAAATCAAAAATAGAGACATCTTCACCTTTTATTATGATTTCTATTTTTTCTTCTGAAGAAATAACTTTTCGAGTTTTCCGTACAATTTCACTTTCATCTTCACTAAGTCTTTTGCTCATGTTTAGGAAAAGGTAGTACGTTAAAATGTCTAAAGTAAAAAAAATGTCAAAAAATTATTTCAAAGATGCCCAAATGGCTTGAGTAACTAATGGCTTGACAACTAATTACTTAGATAATGTAATAACTAGAGTGTCCACCCCGAGGCAATAATTTTTTACCCCGGGGGAAAAAAAATAACCCGTGGTAAAAAATATTTGAAATAAAAGATACTTGATTAAGATTTTTATTGATTTATATATCGTATTTAAAAAAATATCAAACAAATAACAAGGCTGACAAAGTTTTATCACTCTTTTGTTCAAGTTTGTCGTAAAAGTAAACAGATCTGGAAAATCTCACAGTATAAAAAAACACATGTTACAAAATTTAAGTCTAATCAAATACTCATACGTCACTTTCAAAATACCTCTATAAGACGTCATTTTTATTAAGTTTAAAGCATTTAGTGAGCTCAAATCTATGTGAATTAGAGCGATTAAAGAAAAGTGAAAAAAAAGCGATTAAACTCGTAGCCAACGATTTCTTCAGATCTTTCTTCTCTCAAAATGTTT